AAAAGAAAAACTGGGCATTTGGTGGAAAATGTTATTTGTTTCCGCATTGAACGTATCTATTTGTCGAATGGAGTATGAATTTAGTTAGAGCAACATGCTGAGTAGTGATTCTTTGAATAACATCAACACCCAGAAAGTCAAAAACAGTGAATACAAATTCAGTGGTTCTTGAGAATAGTTCACCAACTAATCAATTGAAATTGCATAATGCAGTCATTCGATGAAACACTTTATATCTGCAAAACTTAGGCGCTTAGTTGTAAAAATCAAGAAATTCGACCAAAAACAGGAATGCATGATCGACAGCTGCACGCTCAAAAATCCCTGGCGTGTCTATATTCTTCGAGAAGCTATTTTTATAATGATCATATAACTAAATCTCCTTCTGTTTCGACTACAGCCTGTATATAAGACTATTATTCAACCAAATCTTGACAATTGTGCAACAATTTTATATACAACAGTTATACTCCAATTGATGTTATGCTGGATACACTTCAATGGCTCACTACAATGGCTCACTGCTTCCCAAAGATTATACTATTTTAGAATGATTTCAATGTACAAAATTCTCAACAATCTGTCTCTTTCATTTTCCAAGAAGTATACAGTTATCATGGCAGAAGTTCTCATTTACGTCATGCGGAATTGAAATAATCTGTATATTTCAAGAACAAATAATTCTAATACCATGAATTCATTATTTTCCGAAGGTTTCAATGATTGCAACAAATTGCCTACGTCACTGAAAAATAGTATTATATTTGTTTTTGGTGCCTAGTCAACTGCTGTTATATAGTGTGTTTCTCTATCTTTCCCCTATGCTGAGCCATGGCAACCTCTCTTATTCTTCGATCTGACATTGTGGTTATACCAAACTGTTTCGAAATATGATGCAGCACAAAATTTCTGTCCGAAGTAAAGCAAGAACAATAAAAACGAATACAAGATGTGGCCTGATTTGAGAAATAATTTTGACTTGGATTTAGATGACAGGAGGTGAGGAAAGTAAAAAGAATTCGACATGTGCAGAAATTTCGTTAAGGACTATTGATATGGAGAACTGTGCTGAATGGTTCTTGGAAGTTACTTATCTAGAATGGAGAGCCTAGGGCACTCAAATCTTAAATTATCTACAGGGTCGTAGTTAACTGCATCCCTGTGAAACGGATTATACTGAGCTCCAGCCTTCTCTAGACATGGGCCGGAGATTCCTGACCAATTGTGCATTGTGGACATACCCAGGAAAGTCGGTAACCATACTCGCTATCGTGTTTTGAATTGTTTGCAGCTTTGTCAGAGTCAATCTTGTCACCTGACTCCAAGCTGCCGAGACGTACATGGATATAGGTCTAACCGCTACTTTGTACATCATAACCTTGGTGCCTAAACCCAACTTGCTCCTTCTATTCAAGAAGAGATACAGGTTGGTTAGGGCCCTTATGGCCTTGACGCACTGAGATTCAATGTGGTGGCCCCAGAAGAGCCTTCGATCTACAATGATACCTACATACTGTAATGATATTCCCCTGAGAGGGGCTTTAGAAACATCAGCAGGAAGGCAGGAGTACAACGATCATCCTGTATCACGCATCCCAGATTGCTCTTCAACCTCTCAATGATTCCTACACCAGCATATTTCCGAACACTCAATATATGCCGCAGTGACAAATAACGTCACAGAAGATTCTGGAATGTCCTGGAAACAATCGATGGAAGAATTAGAGAGAGAGGTTTTATTCTAAGAAGCTTCTAGAACAAAAAGAAGGAGACGGAAGATCATTCGAGAACGTTCTCGAACCAAAGCCTGCCATGTGTTCTTATATATAAGACGGCCGAACAACTGAGTCAGTCAGTTAAGCAGCGAGTGTCAGAGAGACAGTTATATACCGCGTGATATAAATCGTTTTACATAAATAGTAGTTATAAGTTCGATATAAATTAGTGTTTCTTTAGTTTAAATAAATCAGTTCAAAAATAAATAGTGTCGTGTTCGCTTCTGCACCCGAATAACGTAACAATACTTTACTCGACGAAAGAAATGTGCTGAATACTATCCAGATTGATTTTATTTTTCCTGAAATCGAAATACTGTGATGAAAGTGAAAGTGATTCTTGGAGAATCCTAGCCCACCATTTCGATACTCAAGAACGACTGTATCGTCCGCAAGCAAGGATAATTTGGTCATATTCAAAACGAGGAGATCGAAAGTGAAAAGACTATACATATAAGAGGAGGAATTACAACCCTCTGAGGCACTCTTGCTATGATGGGCCGAACACTAGACAGTGTTCTATTTAGTTTCACTCGGAGGGAACGTCGTCTCAGGAATGACCTCACGAGTGAAATGGGATTCTGTGGAAAATCAAATATACAATTATCTTGTACAGCAGACCTTGTCGAAGACTTTCGCCACGTCGAGGAAGGCAAGACAGTCGTGCTGATGCTCATTAGAGATTTGAATGGTATTTTCCACCAATCTTTGATCCCGAAGTTCAGTCAAGTGTCCACTCCGAATTTTATGTCCTGGATAACGTTGTTGTCATCAAGATGCTCTTGAAGCCTCTGCTGAACTAACTTCTCAGCCACCTCAGTTTTTTTTATGTTCTGGGGTCCACGAAGAGGGATATCCTGTAATGTTCAGAGAACATCGTGGGAACCAAGGGAAATAAGGTAGGAATTGGCATTCTTCTTTAATTTCTGGAGGTTATATGCCTCGGGGAACCCCTTCCTTGGCAATGTGTTCCAGAGCCTCGCTCTTCGTTGGATGAACGAGTCTTTGGAAAGAGATGTTTTCAAGGGAAGATTCGTGATGCCTTCTGAACCTGGGCCCATTTTGGATTTGATACCTCTAATATAGCCTTCAACCCCTTCCACATGAGTGAGTCTAGTTACACGAGCATTGTCAATTTCCATATTCAAGGCAAACAAACCCGAGCTACTATAGAGGCCTTCCAATCCGGTTCGTGGTAGATAACATCATTTGGACGGAACTGCTCCTCCAAGGAATCGGCTAAGACTTCAAACTTACTGGCCTTATAATAGAGCCTATTTTCCCCACGAGTGTGTGGAATAGGCTTCTATTTAGACCTCACACATTCTTGACGACCTTCCACAGAGTCTCTTATCCTTCGTTCATTGCCTCAAGAGTCCGTTTCTCACCTCTGACAGTCAGAAGTTCAGCTTCCACTAAATTTCTCGCTGCGTTGTACTCCTCTCTATAAGGGGGGTACTACTATCGCAAGAATTCACGTATCAGCCTTTTCTTGTCCCTGATTTGATTTTTGAGATAAGCTGGAAACCTATTTCTGGGATTGTGATTAAGTTGCCAGACAGCAGTGTTATGCAAATGCAGCGGACAGTAGATTCTCAAAGAGAACAGAATCGTCTATCCAGTATGCTTGGTATTTCGATCTAACTCTTTGACCCCATTAGAACACAGTATAGAAAAGTCGGCGACCTTACACTTTTCTATGAAAACATCCATGAAAAATGTTCTTCAAACTCGACAGGCCCAGTCAGCACATCCTTTCGTCGTCAACTTCAAAAAATGTCGTACAACATTCTACCAAAACTCGTTCGTCTATAAAACGGAGAAGCCTTGGAATTCTTAGCCAATGGAAGTATTTCCAAGAACTTATAACCTTCAAAAGTTGGAAATAATCCATTACCTACCTCCTCTTCCTATCCTTCCTAGGTACGTATCATGTTCCACGAATATCATATGAATTCCCCATCGTGCGCTCGAAAAGATTGAAACAACAATGCCCCTCCTAACAGTTTCTCATAATCTACAAAGCACATATACAGCCAGTTTTAGAATACTGTTCTCCTGTATGGGGTTCAGCACCCAAACATACGCTGATGCTCTTAGATTTCAACCAGAGAAGACATATTCGCCTGGTGCGTGATGCCACACACAACAACTTTTTCACATAATCGAAAAAACGTGGAATAGTCGGCGACCTTTCACTGATCTATAGATACTTCCATGGGGAATGTTTCTCAGAAATCTCTGCTATAACTCCATCACTGGCAATACTAGTCAGTGGAACTAGGCCATCAGCACATCCCTTCGCCGTTAACCTTGAAAAATTTCGAACAACACTCGACCAAATTTTGTTAATCTATAGAAGTACGAAGTTTTGGAATTTGTTGTCAATGGAAGTACTCCCAGGAATTTTTAACCTACAAAATTTCAAATAGAACCCGAACACCTACCTCCTCTTTCTATCCTCCCAAGGTATGCGCGATGTTCCTCGTACGAAATTACCTATCTTGCGCTCCAAAAGATATAAAAAAACAATCAAGACGCTATCATCAGAATTCGTAAGGACGTCCAGGCTCTCGGCAGTCAAAACTGGTCTTAGAGGCTGATAAACCGAAATGCACCTAACTAGACCTCTGTTTGACTGAAATTTCACCCCATTCGACTCAAGCAGAAGAGTTGCATCTATATAAAAATCATATGAGGGGATGGACTAAGATGGCAACCCCTTCGCCGCGACGGATTGGTCGTTCTATCTGGAACTGGAAATATCGTAATTTTGAAAAGACATAGGCTGACTCCTCAGATGCGTCTCTTGCAGCAGCATTACATCAACATCATTCGAAGAAAGACAGGTCTTCTATTAAATTCTTTCAACAGGAAGCTAGTTGACATTCTAGGAGACTATTCTCAATGCCCCTGGAATCACTTCTTGGTTTTGTTCAAGAACTTAACAAAAGCACTCATAGCCTGGACCGAGTCACTGAATTTGTTGAAGATTTCCTGCATATGTTCAGGGACACTTAAGATTTTCCCCTTGAACTACCAACATTTGACTGCACTATATTCGAATAACTCCTGCCATTCAAGGAGGAACTGATGCCAGTTGGTTGGTTTCGACAGGAAAATTCTCACATCAACTGAATTCAGCCGTATGATCGGGGTTTGTGTTCTCTTGCCTTTTCACAGTCAGATATGAGATGATCATTGCCACATTTGACACACCGAGGGTCAGCCTTGCACCTCGACTGTGCAGCGATAGCATTGGCCAATGTCTGTTTTGGCTTCCTCTGATTCGACCTTCACAGCCAGCTCCACAAGATGCCTGATGATGTGAATTTCTGTATTGTCCTCAGCTTTGGGAAAAATAATAATGACCAATGGTATCGGCGTGCCATTCAGTCGTTTCATGCGATGGACCGAGGTGATGGCGAACCCTCTGTCCATGAGGTCCACTAACAGGAGGAGCTCTTGAGCAACCAGGTTGCTGCTACCTAGTTAGGGCCTCTTGAGACTTCGCAGCAGAGGGAGAGTATGATTTGGACAAGAATGGGAACCTAGAGGCAGCCCTCGTCCTGGAAGTTTCCGCTTTGCTGCCTCCTGGCCACGAACACGAGGAAGCCACAGATGACGTGCACTTGACAAACACTCTGTCCATATCTATATGGGTAATTTTGCTCTCATCATGCGATGTTTTTTTTTTGTAAATTTGTTCTGGTACCAACGCATTTTTGTCTCAAAAACACAAATTTGATAATGAAGATGTGAACAACATTCATCGAGATATTTCACGAAACATTTCTGAATTTAATCTCCTTTTTCTGCCAGTCTGGATATGCATTAAATGATTACCAGCTATTTCCTCTTGTTTTACTCCAATGACACATTACATATAGGAAATCAACATGGAATGTGAGTTTTTGTCATTTGTCGTGAGTTTTTCATACTTCCTGAACAATCATACTAGCTGATAGCCATTTGATTTCCGATGTCAATTGAATGTCAAATGTCAACAGATTGCGAAAGGACATGAACTTTTAGACAAATTGATTTTCAATAACGTTATACAAACTATTTCAAATGCTATTTTTTCTTCTTCAATCTTCTTTTCTAATTCAGAGGCTGAATATTTGCCATGTCCTTGATAACTGAATGGTAGATGACGTGTGACAGATGGCAGAAATACAAGGATGCAAAAAGATGGCCTTTTCCGTCAGCTAGGTTGATTTTTTACCAAATAGTAAACATGGAAGAATCGCAAGAAAATCATATTTTTAGTCGATTTTCATATTGAAAATGTATCATTGGAGAACATCGTGATAGATACATTGTCTGTCCAATGATGGAGTAAGGAGGGCAAATAGTTCTGAGACCAGCGAAGAAAGAAGGTGACATTTTGAAATTTTTCGTGAAATATCTCGATAAATAGTGGTTTGTTCACAGCTTCATAATGAAATTAGTGTTTTTTGAGGCAAAATTACGTGAGTACCAAAAACAAGTTCGAAGAAAAGACCATCGTATGATAAGTGCAAAATTATCTCTATATCCATGTAACAAATCAATGTCGCCGCCCATGCTCTCTTTTAAATATAATAATAATTATCAAATATTCTTCGGGAGGCTAGGCAACCAACTACTCATTCACACAGATTCAAAATCCGTGTGCGCGCCTAGGTCAGTTGTTGTGGAGAGGGGATTTTCTGAAATGGCTTGCGCTGGTCATTTCACTCTCGAACGGGCAGTTTTCTCAACCAAGTGAATAATAATTTAACATCCACGTTGATCGAACCCAAATTCTGTGTTTTTGGTTTCCTATGTGCCCAATGTTCCTCTGGAACATCTTGGCCTGTGCCTGCATATGATATTTAGGTGGGTAAAACTCTTTTATATTATTTTATGATTTGTTGACCGACCTTTCAGGTCACATGTTAGTTGTACCTACTTTTCTTTGCTCCTTTGTAATTTAATCGCCCATTATATCAAGTGATAGACTGTCCTGGTGCTCATTAGTGCATATGATATTTAGGTTTTCGACGTTCCTCTCAACCCGAGATCTTGGTGAACTTTTGAAGTGAATAAATAGTCTCCTGCACCATCCATGTTTTAATCAGTAAACCCACCAAACCCCTGAGACCGTTACAACTTGGCGACCATCGAGGAGCTGATTGAAGAATGGTTCTGGAGAAGTCTCCCGTGGGACCAACAGGGTATTTTTTCCGAGCACGCAACGACCGGCGAGCTGAAACACACGGTATGCGGCCAGCAGGAGAGAACCTCCTACCTCCTGAGCAGCGTCCCGAAGACAACGCGACTTACGCGACCTCGGCGAACATCTCCGGGAGCGTCGCGACGCCTCCAGCAACGACGTCACCACCCGGCGCCGGACCAGCAGCTGCAGCCGCAGTCACGGCGGTGTCATCGGATAGCTCGACAGGATGCATCAGTAGGACTGGTGCAAGGTCATCTTTTCAAAATCCAGGTTTGAATACGTATCAGGAAAATTTAATTAATAAAGACAGTGTTGATAATCATTTTCCTATCCATGTAAACACAAATTGTGTTCCTAATTTGCGGTCAAATGAGAGACCCACTTTTTATTCTAATTGTGATAAAAACCAGGCAGATAAGGAATCCAACAGAAATTCGTTTTTGCCCACAGCTGGTTCGTTCGCGAACCCAAGTGAATATACACTGCCTGCCACAAATTCAGTACCTCCAAATTATTCTCAAATTTATCCGGAAAATACTTTTTTGTATAGAAATAATTTTGATCATGTTCCAAATTTTCAGTTTTCAGATAATAGATATGTAAATCGTAACTATAATAGTCAGTTGTCACATAACAATACTTCAAATGTGAACCTACCTAATAGTTCATGTCAAAATATGCGATATCCATGTAACCATCAGGGACAGTGTAGTGTAGCAAATAGTAATCCTAATATTATAAATCACAATCCACCTTCACTAGTGCAAAATGTGCCTAGTAATAATAGAATTTTTAATAATGTATCTGATTTGAGAGATGTACGAGTTTTACCCACTTTTGATAACGAAGGGTTACACCCTGTTGATTTCTTGAATAACATCGAGGCTTGTTTCGACACTAATAGCGTCCCCTTTAATCAGTTGAGATTTCTTATTGGTAATTTGTTTGAGAAAACTGCAAAAACCTGGTTTGATGTTTATAGCTACATGTTCAATTCGTATGCTGATTTTAAATGTTATTTTTTAGAACAATTTTGGGGTGATACTTTGCAACTGGGGGTTAAATTGAGATTAGAATCAGGGAAATTCCAAGAAGGTTCAGGATCTCTAGTTGATTATTTCAATTCCAAAATATCCCTAGCACGTCACTTAAATCCTCCCTATACTGAACAACAACTTATTTCAGTTATTGCAAGGCACTTTCCCCCAACTATTTCGGCCAGTTTATTAGGCGCTGATAATTTATTACTAGCGGTAAGTAGACTGAGACAGGCCGATTACTATTTTGATTCGCAAAGTTCTGTCCAACCTTTTTACCCCAGAAGAGATACAAATCATTTTGGGCGAAATCAAAGTGGAAATAGAGGTTTTCGAAATCAAAATAGCACGGGAAATCATTCCGGATTCAATAGTGATAGAAATCACGCGAGTAACAATACTGGCGTAAAGCAAATTTCAGCGCTCGAACTACAGGGTGATTCGATGAATGAGGCAATAACCGGGTCGGGAAACGAGTTATTACCCCACATGTAAGTCCGAGTGTGGGGGCGGTTTTAAAAAGGGCATCACCTAACTTTTTTGTTAATAATAATCCGAAGGAGCAACTTTTGGAAGAATGCGATTTTGAGCAGCATTTTCTTGATACGAGGTCTCCCGTGATATTAATAACTCTGTTTGGATTTCAATTTCCGGCTATGATAGACACCGGAAGTACAGTGACAGCTTGTTCGATGGAAATTTGGCAACAGTTGGCCGATTTCCATAAAGAAATTCCTCATTTTCCCTGTAATGCGGTTAGAGTTGTTGGAGCTTTCAAATCGAAATTTAAAAAAGTATTGCTGCAAGCGTATTTAACATTTTTTGTTCAGGATGCTTCTTTCTCACACGAGTTTTTGTTAATTGCGGATTTGTCATACCCAATTATTATCGGTTGTGATTTTTTAAGATTGTTTCAAGGTACAATAGACCTTAGAAATAAAAACATTGTTTTGTGTTCAGAAAATAAATTTATTCATGTTCCTGAAATGCTTATGAAGCATGAAGGCGGCAACCCGTGCCCAATAAATGTTACAGTTTTAGTTAATAAAAACAAGGATTTGCCACATAAAACTTTTTCATCGAAAGAAATTCGGTACGAAGTTGATTCCGGTATCGGGTCTGACGTCGAACTGTTGTCCAGTGGCGTACCTGAAACAATAAGAATTGAATTTAAAAACTTATTATCAAAGTATGAAAAAATATTTTCGCCAATTCCAGGGCGAACAAATCTTTATTTTCACGAAATTAAGTTGAAAGACGAAAAAGATTTTTGTATCAAGAGTTACCCGATTCCTGTTTTACATAGAGAGGCGGTGGAAAAAACCATCACGCAAATGGAACGTTGGGGTGTTATTGAGCGAGCCTCAACCCCATATATCTCACCCTTGATGACAGCTGTCAAACGTGATGGCTCAGTACGTGTTTGCTTAGATGCCCGCTACTTGAATTCAAAGATGGTCCCTGATTTTGAGTCCCCGTTGCCCATAAACGAAATTATTGCGCGTTGGAATGGCAAACAGGTGCTGTCAAAAATTGATTTATCTCATTCTTATTGGCAACTGCCCTTAAGACCGCAAGATAAAAAATATACCGGGTTTATGATAGGAAACAAATGCTATCAGTTTAACGTCCTCCCATTCGGCATTAGTACTGCAGTCTCTTCCTTCACGAGGGCCATGTCTACCATTTTTGGGGAAGATTTTTCAGAATTCTTAGTGACATACGTTGACGACTTGTTGGTGATGTCTGAATCAATGCACCAACACCTGGAACACCTGGAGCGGATATTTTCGAGATTACAGCATGCAGGGCTGACCATAAAACTGGAAAAGTGTCAATTTTTTCAGACAGAAATGGATTTTTTAGGTTATGTTGTCAGTCCGTTAGGGGTTCGTCCAGATCCACAACGTATTCAAGCCATCGCGGACTACGTACGGCCTAGGAATGTTAAAGAAGTCCAACGATTTTTAGGGTTATGCAACTACGATAGGGGGTTTTCTTCTAAGTTCGCTTCTTTGTCAGAACCGCTCACCACTTTACTACGGAAAAAAAATCGCTGGGTCTGGGGTGAAGCTCAGGAAAATTCGTTTAGGGCCATGAAGCAAGAGTTGCAGAAGATAACGATGCTGTATCATCCGGATCCCTCCTTGCCCTTCCATTTAGTAACTGATGCGTGCGACAATGGAATTGCTGCACAGCTT